CTCATTCTAGACTTGTTGAAAAATTCACCATCATTAATGTAGTTCGTAGGAATTGACACTTACGCCATGAACACAATCTCCATGGGTATATCCATAACGGTCATTTCTACAGGCCCGTGCGCAGGCACTGGAGGTCCTGCAACCGCTGTAAGAAAAAAAAGGACAACAAGAGTTCCGAGATCTCATACCTCCATGAAATATGGGCTTGACGTGTAAATGTAAATTTCTTCTTTGATTATGCAAATGACCTCCACATTAACATAATAAATGCACCATGATGTTAACTTTTTATTGAATTACACATGTTCTAAGTATGAAATTTCCATTATTTAGCACTAAGGAATCATAAAATTTTGAGCTTAATCATGCAAATTAGGTCCGAATTTGCATAATTGGTATCTGGTGATTTTCCTCCTGACATAGGTTATAAACACTACATGTATCAAAGTCCTTTGATGTAAAACACTGGAATTACAGCATTAATTATGCAAATTTAGTCATCATTCGCATAATTTGCATCCAATAATGTAGATCCCTGTCTAAGCTACCCACATACCGAAAATCATAAAAATACATTATTCCTTTGTGAATTTATCTGCTCTGAAAGGTTTCGCCAGAAACCTTCCTGCAGTTCCAGAACAAGCTGCTAGGGGGAACAAACCCACATCACTTATTCCTGACAGGAAAAGCTATCTGTCACCACAAAGTCAAGACCATAGAACTGGAATTTCTGCTGCAGTGCCCATATTTGACCTTGACCTTTGTCTTCCTAAGACTTACCAGCATACCAAATATCATCACAATCCATGAAGGCGTTATGAAGTTATGCTGACTACAAATGTGCGGAAACACGCAGGCAGACAGACGCAGACACACAGACAGATTTTTCATGGAGGTAAAAAGCAGGGAGGAGTGATTACGGTCCTATTCATGTAACCCGTAACCTCGGTCTTCAGGTCTTGTCTTTACGTGTGAAGTACTAGTACTTAGCTTTTCGTTCGGAAGTCGACACTACTCAAATGACTCACCGGCAACCGCAAGTCTGGTGAGGAAATTTTAAAAAAAATGTTAGAATCATTTTTTTTTATTGTGATACTTTGAGTACATTGATATTTATTCAATTTCCAACAATACAAACAATACTTCTGTCCCGAAAGTAACTATGAACTAATAATGACTTAACAAATTACCAATAAGTTTTCGTCATAATTATAACATCTGACTACTAGTATCATATATATAGGATAAGAAATAGAGAGGTGATGTTGAAAATGATCATTAGAACAAACAAAAAGGGTGTAGTTCAAGGTTTCCCAAGGCCATTTCTCGGTTTCCTGAATGAATTTATTATGATTAAAGTAGTAAATATTGGCGCTCTCACCACTCCGCTACACTCTCCACTTTTATACCCAAGGGCTACACAGTTGGTGTTGCAAGTAGAAGAGCTCCACGGGCAGCGAAAGCTAAAAGAACAGAAAATTTAAAGTTGATCACGATGGCTCAGGACACAAGTATTAAGCATAAATTGACGTATGATAATCATTTCAAACATATTCAATATTCAGCAAATTAACATTCCCTATAACATTAAGTATGCAAATTAAGTTTTCATAATTGATATATGCCTAATTTTCTCTCGTTCCTTACTACATATGTCACAAGCTTGAATAGTTCTGCTTGAATAGCTCTATCATGGAATGCAGCCGATTTGTTGGTGGTGCGGCAAAATAGAATTTAAGATAGTGTATGAAGGGTCTAAAATAAGTAGCCTGGCTATGGTGCCAGCCTTTCCAGATTTAGTATACTCTCTCCATCGTTTCTTTGGCAAAAAATGGCTTCGCCTGCAAATATTCTACCGTTTGCATTTGAATTTTTCTTCAAAATTTGATTATTTTCTTTGATTTGTCAAACCTGAGTGTCTCAATTACATAGTAAATAAAAGATGCATAATTTTACTTACTCTGTCCAAGACTCATACTGAGCCTATATAAACGAAAGGAACATTATATTAAACGTAGAAAAAAGATTAGAGCCAAATAATTTGCAAATCAGAAAATGATTCAGATGTGCATCAAAGAAACATCGTCATCAATAGCACTTACCTCAGTGCTGGCCAGAACGCTCAGCAGAACTAAAACGACGAGCAACTTCATTCTGCAACTGTTCAGAAACGAAGGTCGTTTATTAAATAGTCAACTTAGTATGTATCCGCCACGGAATCACTTTAAAATTCTGCATGTTAAATGAGGCCGTCAAACTGGTTTGGTCACTGATCAACTTATAGTGAGTCAGACTATCGGAATGTCAGAGTCACACCCATGACATGGGAGTGTCAGCTGCAGAACATTGCAGCTTGTTTATGAACCAAGCCAACAATGTAATGTGACATTGTATGGTGGAAAAGTCCTGTTTTCGCATTTCTTAACAAAATCTAAGGACCTTTCGATAGCGTTGTACTTCAAAACCAGAAGAAACATTCCAAGAGAGGAACTCTAGCTATCTAAGCGTAAAAGGTTAGCCATTATCATATTACATGCTTTTTAGAAAAAAAAATTGATGTACCAAAAGGTCTAAGACTATGAAGGCTAGCAAATGTTGCTTTCTGTAATTTTGGGTCTCATCGGTTCCAGCTCTGACAAGGCTGCTTTTCTTTCACCCGAATGAACAAAGATAATGGATAATCTGGGCACGTCCACCAATTTTTCTCCACCTTAACTGTGACCTATACGTATTTTTCTATCCAACCAAATAAACGATTTTTGTAGCAAAATGTTAGAAATTTGGTGCATAACGCGTTGTAGGTAGAAGCCAGAGGAAACACTCAGTAAGAGAAAATCTTACTAAGCGTAAAGAAACTGTCATAGTCTTCTCTAACACTTTAACTGCTATTGCATCATATACGTACTTTGTGAAACACAAAACGACGTGGGATAACCTATAAATTTTGACAAACCTTCTGCTGAGATTTAGAATCTGTACAGTGAATATCTTCTCACCTGTGAAGCACAAATGCAGCGGCAATGTTAGAGATATTTCAGTGCTGATCCTCCTCGGATTAACTTCTGCACGAAATGACGCCGTCGAACTTGTTTTGCCCCTAAGAAGCTTATTTTGAGTCAGACGATCGGAATGTCAAAGATTCACCTTTGACATGGCAGCGGCGAGGACTAAAAGTCACAGCTTGAAGGTGACAATGCAATATAATCTTCATGAATGAATGGAAGGTTTATTTAAAAAAGTACATTGCAGAAATAGGCTGAATTTCATTAATAAAAATTACTATTTTCGTGGATGAATGAGAAAATACGACGTTCTAGAGGGTTCTGTGCTATCAGATACGTTGATGACGTTTGCCCAAGTATACGATGCATTTGAATGAACTACAGTCTTATTGTAGACGCACCTTTATATAGCTCTCCTAACGACAGCAAAGTAACTTGATTGTCGTTCTTTATAAATAAACTATTTCTGTGGGAGACCTTTCTGTAATTTTGTTCCTCTTCGATGCCAGCATTTAACCAAATAAACTATTTTCATACCAATAGTTGGTAATTTTATTTTAGCAAAACGCCTTGTAGGAAGAAACTAGAAGAAGCAGACTATCTGGCTTAGCTAGCACGCCAGGCTATCCGGATCCCCCATTCATATCCTAACGAAAGATAAGACATCTAAGCAGCTGCGCCCTCTAGCAGAATGCATGGAAACTACATCCATTAGGTGAAAACAAAAAAGAAAGCCCGATAAAAAAAGCCTAAAAACACGCCCAAAATAACCCCAGACCCAAACCTCTGCTTGGAGAGTAGAGATTATCGACTTAGTCAATAAAACCGACCAAACATCAATACGAATCTGCGGAGGCCGAATACGTAGCTACTTTCGGTTTCACAAGTTCTTCCATTGACTGACATCTGTTTATGTTTACGTTCAGATGTCCCTGTTTATATTTTCCTTCTTCGGACTCGTAAGTTCGTGCGGTGATTCTGCTGGCCAACGCATCGCTTTATCGTGACCTAGTGGTGAGTTTTGAGACTTTTCTGTAGCGCTAAGGTGAGAAAAATAACGGTTCAAACTAACGTAACTTGTCAAGAAGTATTTCTCGGTAGGAAACTTGGGGGAGGGGGGCGCGTGTGAGCGTAACTTCCAGGAAAGTTGTTTACAGGAAACAACATAAGGAGGGAGAATGCAAATATAAGGCTCCATCTCCCAATAGCCTAAACGTAGCCAGTTGTTATAATATATTTGATGAAAGCCTGGTTGGATCACGGTTACGGCGACTTTCAAGGAGTGGATCAAAGAGGGCCTGCAAGCCATTTTTCGTAAGGCGTAATCAGGCCGTTTTAGACTTCGTAATTCGTAGGCAGCCTCCGCAAAAATCAACGTAATTCGTAATTGGACATTAGACGCCAATCGTAAAGTGGTAATCAGCTCTGAGACTTTAACGCCTAATTCGTAATAGGCGGCGAAAATTTTGCGTAATTCGTAATCACTACCTCCCCTTGCAGGCCCTCATCAAAGAATGCACGTGTTTGCCTTGCCCTGTGCCTTGCCTTAGCTATAGCGGGACGGTACGTTAGTGGTGGGTAATGGTTGGGGTATTTTCTCAGCTCTGTGTAGTAGTACGTACATAAATTTGTATGCATTATAACAAGTAGCACACTACGGATTGATGATCAACGAAAAGTTCCTCGTTCCTGGGTGCATTTTTGCTATTAAATAAAGGCAAATATCTTTTGTGGCATGTTGTCCCCATGTAGGCACAGGAGACACTGTCTGGCATTTAGACTATGAGCCATTTTAGCTTTAGATTGTTGTTTGCTACATATATAAGAGATATAAAGTGTTTGCCATTGCCCGGGTTTGCAATAGTCACCAATAGTCTCGAACTCTACTCTTTCCAGCCGCCTCCCGAAGCCTGGTAGAGGCTAGAAAATCGCCACAGTTTTGATATTGATACTGTTTACTTTGCTACATGTCTGCCAGGCTGCGGTAATAAGTCTCGCGGTATCTTAGCAACGGTGGACAGGGCCACGCACTCCCAGATCCTATCATTATATAAGGACATGGCTAGCCTGGTTTACCAAACCTATTATAGCTCCCGAGTCCTACAGCGGGCCTCGAAATTAACATTCTTCCTACTGTCCCAGAAACAAATTTCAATTGTCCCGAAGTGAGCCTTAAGTGTCCCAACATGTATTTTGGGAAGTATTGTATTACTTCAACTTGAAGTCAACTTTCTTTTGCTTATCTTGCTCATGTGATAGATAATTGCAGAGGAGACAGAAATTTCTTTTTTTTGGGGGGGGGGCTTTTCCGGATCCAAAAGCCGGGACAAAAAAGGCTTGACATTCTGACGTTGATTATTTTTCTATTGTCCCAAAAGTGTCACAAATGCAAAGTGTCTTTTTTACTTATCACAGCCTAAATTTTAGTGGTCAGTGGCCATTGGACCACCTTTAATTTCGAGCCCTGACGTGGCGCCATGGAGGTGCTACATCTGGTTCTAGTAAACCGATCGCGTAACCAGGCCCCGCTCCAAGCAGAGGTTAGAGGGAAAGGTCGTTACTTTCTTCTGGTTGGTACTTGTTTTCTGGCAGCGGCAGCCTAATCTCCAAGCAGATCATACGGTGGTGGCAAGGCAGAATCCATTTGCCAGAGGAGTGTCCATTAGCCACCATGGATTCTGCCTTGCTACCGTATGATCTGCTTGGAGATTAGCGGCAGCCTATTTCTTAGTTGAGGACTTAAGGCTTGAGAGTGAAAACCCATGGGCTAAGGGCCGTATTTTGAAACCGTAGCTATCCGTTTTAGTTCCACCTAATTCGTAGCCAGACTGTGCCAGATTTTTGTAAGTATTTTTTAGGAAAATTAGTTACTTTGTGAATGTTTCTCCTTTACGTTTCAGCACTCAGATTTAAGGGGGAAAGATGAAGACGAGAAACGGTAAAAAGACACATAGAGGGAGAATGACGCTGACGAAGACGGGAAGAAAGATATACAGAGAAAAGGAAGAGCAAGAGGAAAAGAAGCAAGGGAAAAAGCTTAAGGACCATGAGGAGGTGGAACTTAGACCGACGAAGAAGAAGGGACAGAGGGACGAAGTAGAAGAGGAGATCGAGAAGAATGGATTAACCACTGAGGAAGACCAGGAGATGGAGGAGCAAGAATCATCGGATAAGAAACAGAAAGAGATGGGGAAGGAAGAAAAGAAGGCAGAGGAAGATCAAGAGGACGAAGGATCGGATGAAGAGAATGAGGAGGTAGAAGAGAAAGCAGAGGAAGATCAAGAGGGGGAAGAGGAGGACCAAGAACAAGAGGATGACGAATTGGATGAAAAGAGGCAGGAAGAGATGGAGAAGGAAGAAGAGAAGGCAGAGGAAGATCAAGAAAAGGGAGAGGAGGAGGAGCAAGATCAAGAGGAGGAAGGATTGGATGAAGAAAAGCAGGAAGATATGGAGGAAGAAGGAGAGAAGGCAGTGGAAGATCAAGAAGAGGAGGAGGAGGAGCAAGATCAAGAGGAGGAAGGATTGGATGAAGAGGAGCAGGAAGGGATGGAGGAGGAAGGAGAGAAGAGTAGTGAAGATCAGGAGGAATATGGAGGTGAGAGGGAGTTTCGTTGTGAAGACTGTAGGAGGTCATTCAAACGGTTGGAGCATCTCCAACTCCACTTGCGCACCCACACGGGCGAGCAGCCGTACAAGTGCGGGGAATGTTCCCGCCGATTCCGGCACAAGGGCAGCCTGGTGAGACACATGGCCCTGCACTCGGGAAAGACAAAGGGGAAATACAAGTGCGAGAAGTGTAACCAGCGCTTCAGTCGGGGAGACAAGTATAGAGAGCATCGCCGGAAACATTTTAAGTCCAAACCGGCGAACAGCGGCGACGGCGATCCTTACGATTTTGTGTCCGAATCAGGTGACGACGACACGGATAAAACGTTACAGATGAAGAAGAAGTCGTTTGCATGCGGTGAATGCAACAAAACGTTCTCTCGTGCTCACCGCTTGAAAGCCCATAGTAAAATTCACTCCGGTGCGACGCCATTGAAGTGCGACGTTTGCGAAAAGAAGTTCGATCTCTCTGAGCGCTTGAAGGACCACATGCGCGCTCACGGTAGCGAGAAACGATACAAATGTGAAAAATGCGGAAAGACGTTTTTTATGCTCCAACACTTAAAGAACCACGAACTGATTCACAGTGGTGAGAAACCACACGTCTGCGAGAACTGCAAGAAGCGGTTCAGGAGGGTGGGGCACCTGCGGGCTCACATGCAAACCCACACAGGTGAGAAACCTTACAAGTGCGACGTGTGTGACAAGGCGTTCAGTCAGTCCAGCGGCTACCACCGACACATGAAAACTCACTCAGTAGAGAAGCCCTTTAAATGTGAACATTGTCAGCAGAGATTTAGACGACTGGAGCACTTGAAAAGCCACATATGGGGCCATTACGAGCCGAATAAATCACGTTTGGATTACGGCTTGAGGAAACCTCTGTGAAAAAAAATGCGACCCTTGCATGTTTGGTAAGGGTGCAGTCAAGTATATTCGTTGTAGGTTGTTGTCAACTCTGATGTAGGATTTTCAAGTAGCCTCCTTCGCGAACTTGTGCGGTGGCGTTATTTTTTGGGAGGGCTGGTTTTTACACGAGCTACAAAGTTTTCCCGCCTATGGAGTTATGCCGTGGAGGCCTCTTCGTAGCCCGTGTAAAAAATCGCGTATAACCCCCCCCCCCCCTCCCCAAATCAACGCCGTTGCACGAAGGAGGCGAATTTTCGAACTGTCTGTGACAGAACCAATCGCTGACAAGATGGATATAGTACGACACCACTACAACTGTCACAATACTTAGTATGCGATTGTACGATGGCCTGACGACTATGACCAGCCCCTTAGAGGTCCGTCCTTGTAGTCTCACGTCCGTCCTTCTTGTATGTTCTGGTGTTCGTTCATAACATGCCCAGGACAAGTGTTGCATGATTATACACACACTCGCATTCGTTCGTGATAGGTATTATGAACGTCCAGAAGATGCGTATAGACTGACCAAACAAGGCTTTGCGGCTACACCAAAGGAAAGGTAGAGTAGCATGTCTTAGCTATACCTGAGATTATTCGACAATATCACTGTCTGGCATGGTTGAAGCTTTGCTTTCACTTTGTTTACAATGTATTCACCACTTTATTATCTTTATTTGCACAGTATTTGTTTAACCTTTTTATTTCTTGTTAATTGTACCTATTTCTTAATATCCGTCACTTTCTCCTTTAGGATATTAACAATAGATGATAGCTATTATTAAAGTCTCAAATGGTCAATAAGTGTTTAATGTTTATTGTTTCTGGTAGCGTTTGAACTTGCCGTTATCGCAATGTTACGAATAAATTTTTCTCTGAACTAGTTCTAACACTACTCAAATATGGCACTCATTTCATAGTCTCGACCAGACTAACTACGCTGGCTATACATGTATATAGGAGAATTTGCCAGGGGAGTTTGTCCGCCTTGTAGGTTTGACTGGCCAGATGGAAAGAAACTACCTCCCCGCGGCCGGACTCCCTTCGCCAATTTTACTCTCTTTTTTTCCCGAATTCTACGATCCGTATTCCTGTAGAAAGGCCTGGTGGAGGCTACTCATTTAATAGAAGGACACCAAGATATAGATTACACTAGATATATCCTGTCGGTATATCAGTAGGATAGTTCTCTAGGTCAATAAGTTGCATTTGCTTTACTAAAGGGTGCATAGCGTAAACGCAAATATTTGACGAATATGCAGTGACTCTCTCATTGGTCGAACCACAAGTTGCCGTGCTACCATTGGTTGAACTGCTAATTGTGGACAGTGAGGATAAGTCGATTCCGGTTTGGGAAGAGAGATGAACAAGATAGATAGTAGATTAACACCTGTTCTTTTCCCAAAGACTCATTTACAAAAATTGAAGAACCTAACTGACCCTCGGAAAATCTCACTAATAATCTAAGGAAAAATCTCACTAGTAATCATTATCAGATCATCTATTCTCTATATCAGAAGTGTTTAAAAGAAATCATCTTAACATATTAGAAATAGGACATTTTGAAGCAGCTCCACTGTTCTTACTGATGGTACAATAGCAAACATTATGTGGCGCTTTGCAAACCGTTCCGAGGTCAGAGTGTGCGTAACCTCGATACGGAAAGTCTGCAATCAAACAAGTCACACATGCATATATAAGCTGCGTGGAGCAATATCCTTTCTTCATTTGGGACCCAACGGACGGATCCAACATGGCGCAGTTGTTTTTCTTCGCTGTACTCGCTTTGGCGGCTTCTGCAAGTGGTAAGAATATACTTTTACTGAGAATATTTTCTTTCTTTTTTATTTTGTGACCAGTTTGAATTTTGATACGTTTATTGGAGACAGCTACATGTAATTTAGGCAGTTATGCAATTGTGCATTGGCCTTCTACTCATGGCTGTTACCATATTGTGTGAATTTGTCATAGTTTTAGATGAATAAAAATTTGACTGGTCAAATGCGTCATTTCTTTTCACTGTATTTTAAAAAATGGCAGAATCTGAATAAATGCGTACATATAAAGCCTGATTTAAGTGGGAATTCTGATGTAATACGGGTTACGTATACTAGCTACTGGCTACTAGCTGTGTTTGTTATCAACATATTTTGCAATGTTTGGCCTTTTTACTAGTACTTGTAATGTGTGCTTGTAAAATGGCTAGCTTGCTACAAATGTGAACGAGCCCCATATAGGTAAACATCTGTTTATTTGTTTGTTTGTTTTGCAGGGCAGCAATGTGTCTTTCCCTTCAGTTACGGCGGGATCACATACTACTCCTGTACATCCGTCGCCTCCACCGACTTTTGGTGTTCGTTCGATGCCGTCTACTCGGGCAACTGGAAATACTGCGACGAGCGTAAGTTCTGCTATAAAAATGTCTTCAAGTTTACATTAAAAATCTGCGACTCGTCAACCTTATGCCACCTATTGTAACTATTGACCATGACCATAAAGCTTGTTGCATATTCATGCCCCATTGCTCCCTACGAGAAAAATAGGGAAACTAAGCTAAGCTTTATCTAGACCTATCATTTACATGCTTTTCTCTTCTTGAGGCATTTGTATACGGATGTTACATCGTGTTTTTTTTTTTTATTCCAACATGTAATCACCAGACGTGGAGACGACACACTCAAGTTTTTTAAAACTTATATCAACGTCGCCACCAATACAGGGGACAAATACATGACAGGACAATGCTCATTTACACCTGAGCTAAGTGAGGAAAGCCGTGTAAAGTGCCTTTCCCAAGGGCACAAGATCGGTGGCATGTCAGGACTCGAACCCGGGACTCTACGTTCCGAGTCGCGCACTCTGCCGCTACGCCACACGACCCCACAATGGTTAATTGTTAATTGTGGGGTCGTTTTTTACATCGTGGTTAATTGACGACATCATATGTAATGTCATCCTTTGTTAGGTGTACATATTTCTGTTCTAACAGTCGTTTACAAAGGTATTGCGAAATCATAGCATTGTACAATGGGTATTCTACAACGCTTCGCTTTTTATGCTATCACAAAAATTACATAATCTAACATTGAGAGGAGTTCGGGTCTATCTACCACCTTCAATTTGTGTGGTCGCTGATTCTTAGTTTAGTCATAGCTCGTCGATGGCAACAGTTTCTTATATGAAGGTGTTTTTCCCTTTATAAGTATGCTTAAATTTTCTGTAGGTTCTTAGCTATGGTCTGTTTCCTGTTGTTCCAGAGGAGTGCACGTTCCCGTTCTACTATAACGGACAGACCTACTCGACTTGTGCGGAGGGGGGTGCGCTGGCCTCGGACTGGTGCTCTCTGGACGCGGTGTATCAAGGGAACTACGTCTCCTGCAGCGACAATGCTGGTAATGTGGCATCAGCTTTAAGGCACCCAGTGCAGTTTTTAGGGTTTGAAAACCCGAATTTTCAAAGCCAATATTCTAGTTATTTATCTACTTAGTGAGTTGAAACCACACTATCCCAATGTATATTGACCCTCATGGAACAAAAATTCTCAAAGTTCTGACGGAAAATGGTTACTGGAAGGGCCCTGGGCTGATTTCTAGGGAACTACCCATAGAATAAAGGACTCATCTTGGGGCTTGTTTTTGCAGTTTTAAGTACGCAAAGTATGAAATACTGACTCAGATGTGCTAACGTGCAGCAGTATGTGTCAATATCACCAAGATTGTCTTATGCAGAATATTTCCTGACATCGCATTGGATGCCTTTAATACTAAAGAAAATTGAAGAAATTTTGTCGCAAACACATACCCAAAACTTACTATATTTGTGGAAGCATTTTCCCACTGGCTCAGAGCTATAGCAGAAAATTCAAGACAGGAATCTTTTCTGGGACCTTTCTTTGGCAGTGATAATAACGATTTGTTTTTATTTTTTATCTTTTCCAGTGGTTGTGGATCCTCTCGACGACAAACCAGGTACGTCATATTAACTCATTAACAGTCAAAATAATACAAATCAACTAACTGTACAACATGTTTAGAGTTAAAACTTTGATCCAACACAAAAATTTCTCTCACCTAGAGCTTTCGACCAGTGACTCTGGTCTTCCTCAGTAGACCATTCTCTCCAACACAGATGGACTTTCATGATAGTACAACTGTGCAACATGTTATACAACCAAATATCTGTCTGATTAACAGAAGCGAGGAGGGCGTTCGGGTACAGTTTTTCTCGTCATCTCTTTGTTTAGAATCTCGTTTGTTTATTTTTTTTTTACCTGTTTTTCGGGGTACAGAGGCGTGCCACTTCCCGTTTGAGTACCAGGGCCAGACCTACACCACTTGTACTCTGGAGGCCTCCAGCGAGCTGTGGTGTTCTCTGGACGCCGTGTATGAAGGGAACTACAAATACTGCGGGGAAGGTCAGTTCTACTTTATTTACCCTCCTGCTATAGCACAATTTATACGGCACTTGCCACATTATGTAACCCAACACCAGTTACCATGGTGACAGACGTCTGGTCCTGGTCATTGACCTTATTTGTTTGGAACGAAAGAAAAAGAAGGGGAAGAAACTGAGCAAAAAACAACAATTAGACATGCTTATAGTAAATAGTAAACATAATTAGACAAGATAGTTAGGGGACATTGCGCTGAACGGCAGTGATGCAGTCTCCACAATGGTGGTATCTGCATTAAACGGGGGACTTGATAAACTTTTAACTTGGTTTCTGACACTGCTGACGTCTGGGGGCACGTGTCATAACAGACTGGTAATTTCAAGCTGGAGAAGGATGTAGTATGTAGAGGAGACCGAAAACCTTTTCTTGTACTGCTGAAACGGTATCTATTCTACTTCCAGTCTGCTCTTCTGTTTGCTTCCACAAGCTAAATATTTGAATACCAAAAGATCTATATTACATGTATAGGGTGCCAAATAATATGTCAGGAAAGCGATCGGAGAAGCGAATTGAAGCTAGAATATGGTGGATACCAGGCTGTTAGAATACAGCTTGGCCATAATAATGACAGTAGTTTGACATCATCTTGTGCCACACACAGAGGACTGTGTTTTCCCCTTCACCTACGATGGAGAGACGTATGACGAGTGTGTGGACGCGGACAACAACGGTGGGTGGTGTTCTCTGGACCATATCTACCAGGGGAACCAGGTGTCCTGTGCAGAGAGTAAGTACTTCGGTTCTCATATTTTTAAAGTTCTTCTTCTTATATTTTACCTTTGGATACAGAGTTGATGTCTTTGGTGTTTGTTTGTTTGTTTGTTTGTGTGTGTGTGTGTGTGTGTGTGTGTGTGTGTGTGTGTGTGTGTGTGTGTGTGTGTGTGTGTGTGCATGTGTGTGTGTTTATGTGTGCATGTGCGCGTGTGTGTGTGTGCATGTGCGTGTGTGTCAGTGTGTGCATGTGTGTGTGTGTGTGTGTGTGTGTGTGTGTGTGTGTGTGTGTGTGTGTGTGTGTGCGTGTGCATGTGCATGTGTGTGTGTGTGTGTGTGTGTGTGTGTATGTGTGTGTGTGTTTGTGTGTTTGTGTGCGTGTGAGCCAGCTATCCCTATCCATTACCTACATGTATATAACACACATTTTCTTGGTACCAAAGAGCCTTGCGGCGAGACCATCTACAAGGACCACGGCCACCTCCACTCCCCTAACTACCCCCAGGACTACAACCACGACATGGACTGTTCCTGGATCTTCCCGGCCAGAGGCGGTACCGTCAACCTCGAGTTCTTGGACTTCACTCTAGAGGGAGGAGCGAGTACTTTCGGGAGTTGCGAGTTCGATTTCGTTGAGGTCTTTGCTGGGGACCGGAGTCTGGGTAAGTTGCTTTTTATTTAAATTCTAATAAGGTCACGTTTTCACCACCGATGTTCGTAATGCTGTAGCCCCGGCCGGGCTCTTATGTCATGTGGACACCGGCTTACATGGTCATAATTGAGACCCTCTCTACATTTAAAAAAGTCTTCCCAAAATGGCACTACCCGGCAGGGACCCAGGTTGATTGTAACCCTTAATTTGTAAAAATCTAGGGCCCTGGCCGTTTCCAAAAAGAGCTGTCCAAAAACTGGACAAAAACGTTCCTTTTTCTTTAAGGAAAATGGTGTGGTGACTTCGGCCCGACTAACATCACATCCAACCAGGACGTCACCATCCACATGTTCACTGACGGCAGCATTGCCGCGAAGGGGTGGAAACTCAAGTTCTCGGTGGTGGGAGCTGCCCCCTTCGGACCGGGGCTAGAGGAGTGCGGAGGACTGCTTCATGGGGAGCACGGGGAGAGGACGTCTCCTGGGTGAGTAGGGTTAATCTCCAAGCAGATCCTAGGGTGGCGAAGGACAGTATCAAATTGGCCAGCCAGTATCAATTGGCCCCCCTTTTTTAAAGTAAAGTGAGTTAGCATGAAAAATAATCTACAGTAAATTGCATAATGACAAATAAACTGTTCTTCAACTCAAAATAATTGTACTTATCGGAATTTCCGACCGAATCTCAAGCTCGGTCTTCATTGGCTATCTAACAAAACTGGTGTAGACACGTGATTTTAGCGCGACGTCAGTACTGGGTCAAAGTTCGCCGGAAGTCGGTACCGCCCCCCGTCCCCCTGTCCCGTTTGAGAGAAGGTTAGTTGAGGGAAGGGTGGAGGTTAGAGCCCCACTCAGCTATTGGGGTTTAGGATTACAAGCGGCCCAACTTAGATATTGTATGACTTTCTTTGTGTTTGTTGCCATGTTTCGATTTTTTGTTAATCTGTCCTTGTATGTATAACATATGGGCCAGGGCCCTGAATAAAAGCATAAATAATTTGATTTCCACACAGGTTCCCTGATGGGTACCACAACGATATCGACTGTACCTGGACGCTGGAGGCTAAACACGGCGGCGTGATTCTGGAGTTCTCGGAGTTCAGCCTGGAGAAGCCCGGGGAATACCAGGGGTGCACTTACGACTTCGTGGAAATCTACCACGGGCTCAATCGTATCGGTAAGATACGTTTACAATTCACTTCTTTCTTTCTTTCTTTTTCCTTCCTTCCTTCTTTCTTTCTTTCTTTCTTTCCGTCTTTCTTTCTTTCTTTCTTTCTTTCTTTCTTTCTTTCTTTCTTTCTTTCTCTATTTCGATGCCCTGTAGCCCAAAAGGCTAATCTTCCAGGGTTTATACAAAAATGAAAACACATATAAAGAAGATAAGCATGTAACATATTCTCTACTGGAGAATTCACTTTCCTGGCCAAACTTTTCTGACCTCTTCTTTATACAGTCATGGCTCATGAGATTCCACGAGAGAAAAGTATTTTGATATACAGGCAGTTATTTGGGGGTTATTGGGGGTGATTATTGTTGTGGTGTAGCAACACCCTGTGGTGTTGGGTTACATCATGTAGCAGAACTTGGAGTGGGAGAGCCTGCTCTCCATACATATGCCACTGAGGTTGAGTACTTCATTCATTCATTCATTCATTCATTCATTCATTCATTCATTCATTCATTCATTCATTCATTCATTCATTCATTCATTCATTCATTCATTCATTCATTCATTCATTCATTCATTCATTCATTCATTCATTCATTCATACAGGCCGTTTCTGCGGCGACTCTCCCCCTCCGACGACCACGTACTACGAGAAGGTGAGTATCCGGTTCCGGACCGACCAGCACACCGTGGCTTCAGGATTCCGGTTCAGCTGGACTTACCTCCACTCGCAGACCACTCCTCCAACTATGCCGTCCACAACCGACTTACCAGGTATGGAAGTTTATCATAAAAGTTCATCTGTGTTGGTATACTTCATTATGAAGAAAAGGCGAAACGTTCTGTTTATAATTCTGACGTCACATCCCGGAAGCTGCAGTAGACGGGTCCATTCCGTGAACAAGGCTGACGGAGTTAGCCGAAAATTTGAGTAAGTCTTCAATTTACTTAGTGTTGGACATAACGTTTAGCCCTTTCGTCATAACAGGTATGGAATTGTTGCATCCCCAAAGTGATCTTTATCTCAGACAAGTTAAATATTTGGGATAGTCAAAGTGTATCACAAACGAGTCACGGACCGCATATGTATTCAAAACGGGTTCCTGGATGATGCATTCATTTTGGATACATGTCTGGATTTATCCCATACAGGTCCCGGACGGTTTTGGATACGCGCCTGGATTTATCCAAAACCGTCGTCTTTATTTTAATTAGTACGATTTTGGATATGGAACGGCGTTTATTTCCAAGTATACTTTGAGGACAAACTTTGTTTGGTTTCTTTACGAGGTGGACACCATTAACCTTGCCACATGTAAGAAGGTTATGTTTTCTGTAGCATTTGTTGTCTCTACTTGAACAGTATACATGTACATGATAAAAGATTATGTCTATTTCATGTCTTCCAGACGGCAGCGGTGAAGGTAGCGGTGCAATGAAAGAGGAGGACTTGGATAAGTTTATCTTTTAGGACCTCAAAAGTCTCACCTGCAGAAAGCAACATCGTCGTGTAACCTTTCAACCGAGTAAACTTTCATCCGGATGTGCAGTGTTTGTATTCTTTATATATACACGCGCTTGCGTTGTTGAGCCACGTTCACACGAACGAAGGCACGCACAAAACACACACGCATAAACATCCACACATCCACACACACACATAAACACACACACATAAACACACACACACACAAACACACACACACACACACACATACACACACACACATACACACACACATCCACACATACACACACACACACATTGGTTTAACTTCTGTAGCCTATTTCGGTATTTCCGGTTGGAGGAATAGCCGGATGATAAACAAACTATACAAAACTAAACAAAGCATAATAAGTAGATTAACACCTGTTCTTTTCCCAAACCCTAATCGAAGAAAATCTAAGGAACCAACACTCGAATAGCTTCAACACTACGCTCTATAATCTTAGCCAACTGTCTATTGATCGTCTCATTAATTCATAGTAATAATAGGTTTAAAAGATATCTTACTGTGCATTAATCCGCCATTATTAGAAGCTTAGAATATCTAGTCAGATCTACAATTGCTTGGTACAAGAATAGCAAACATTGGGTGGCGCTTTGCAAACCTCTGCAAGGCCATGCTGTGCGTAACGTAGATACAGATCAAATAGTTTTGTGCATGTATGTATATATATATAAGAGGTCTCGAAACATCTCCTTCCTTTATTCGGGACCCAACAGACGGATAAAACATGGCGCAGCTGTTTTTCTTTGCTGTACTCGCTTTGGCGGCTTCTGCAAGCGGTAAGTAAATATTCTGCCATATGTTTCATGTTTTACTGAGACTTTTCTCCTTTCTTATTTTGTCACGAATTTAAACTTTTATTATTATTTAACACGTTTATTAGAAACAGCTACATGTAATTTAGGCAGTTACACAATTGGGCACTAACTGTTTACTCTTACCTACCATATTGCTTGAATTGGGCGAAGTTTTAGATGAATAAAGATGTTTGACAACAACATTTTTCTTTCAAGAATTTCAGGTTGATTGATTTGCGTTAATTTGCTACTACTACATGTATTTTTTGGAAATTAATAGATAATTATGTCCCGGTCGGTAGCTCTTTAACTGTTTCCATATTGCAGAATTTGGCATAGATGAATAGAAAGATATCGATAGCGTCGATTCTTGTTCTAGCTCAGATGCGTCAATTCTTGAAGTTTATGGTCATACCACGGGTGTAAGTTGTATACAACTGTTTGTTTATTTGTTTGTTTGTTTAATCTACAGGGCAGCAATCTTCCTCTTGCGTTTTCCCTTTCGTCTATAACGGGGACACGTACGATTCCTGTACAACCGCTGGCTCCACCGCCTTCTGGTGCTCTTTCGACAACGTCTACTCGGGCAACTGGAAGTACTGTGACGAGCGTAAGTTTTGCCCCCAAAATGTTTGAAAGTCCTGAAGCAAATTTGAACAATAATTTCCAACACAAAGACTGTGAAATTCCACGTGATCTGGTGAGCAGTAGGTCATAGGTTACAGAAAGTTTTATCACACTTATATTTATCACAAGTTTTATCACACTTATATGTATTGATTTTAAACTGAATTTGATTCATTGTCTATTTAACTCCTTAGCGTTTTTAACCTATTTCATTGTAAATGCCTGTCAATTCAGACTTATTGTCTGCAAGAAGGTGTGTGAATAAAGTTTCAAAGTTTCAAAGAAAGTCTGTGGCGCCCCCCGCCTTTGTTCTTGTAATGCTCTGATGTAGAGAGCCTCTTCAATGATGTCTTAAAGCTTGAAACAATTGAAAAACCCGCGACTCATCAAGCTTTATGCCACCCATTGTGAACAGTGCTATTTTCGTAATCTCCAAGCAGACTCTGTACTATGTAGGGTAAGAGGAGTCTATATTGGTTTCCTGTATCCATTGTGGGGCTGCCAATGCTTACAGGAGGCCGATGGTTACTGGTAGCCAAAATAGACTCCCCTTGCCCCGCATGCAAAATCTGCTTATTTCTGTTTATTTGTTTATTAGACCGATCCCTATTAGTTTGTACAGACATGAGTTGCCATACATACCATTCTTCCTGGAGTCGTTTAACTACATACTACTATTGTAACAACATGGTAATGCTTATAACTACAACTACATAAACACACACAACATGTAAATTGTACCGAGAGGTCAGAGGTCTATTATGAAATTAAAAACATTCATATTTACACTTTGTCGACATTTCTACTACCACCAAGATTGTAAGGGTTTGGAGGTGTCCGCCACAGTTTTCTGTTCATTTTCTGTCTCCTGTTCCAGAGGAGTGCACGTTCCCGTTCATCTATAACGGGCAGACTTTCTTGTCCTGTGCGGAGGGAGGTGCGCTCGCCTCCGACTGGTGCTCTCTGGACGCTGTGTATGACGGGGAGTATGTCTCCTGCAGCGACAATGCTGGTAAGGCTTAGTAAAAAGTGTAGTTTTTCCGGTTACAGTCCTGAAAAAATTAGTTTCGAGAAATTGGGATACTGTTTGTTGACCTGTTTAGAGTAAATCTTTAGATTCAACACAAAAAGTTTTCTCACCTAGAGCTTTCGACCAGTCACTCTGGTCTTCTTCAGTAGACTGACCCAGTGTTTGTTGACCTGTTTTGCCTGGGTGTTATCCGACTTGTAACGGCACCCAGGCTAGTGATGCAACAAATACAGCTGAAACAATGTAAAACGGAAATGCAGGGGTGATACAGGAAATGAGACAACCTTTCCTGGGACCTTTCTTGGACCCTTGACCTGACTTCCTTCGACGATGTATCGGTTTGTGATGAATTACCATCTTACTACATCTTTTTTTCTTTTCCAGTGATTGTGGATCCCCTTGAAGACAAACCAGGTACCCAATTTTTCCCTCCGTTTAGAATCTTTTTAAATAAAAAGACAAGATGGCGACGCACACGTTACACTTATATCAACGCCGCCATCAAACAAACAAACAAACAAAACAAAAAACTCTCGTCTTTACCAGTGGGTCAGTAGTGAGAATGGTATTACTTTAGACTTAAGGGGTTGCAGAACAGTCTGACAGTTTGAGCATGTCTTTGTTAATATCTTGCTTTTTTATTTATTGTTTTGTTTACTTGTTGTCCTGTTACAGAGGCGTGCCACTTCCCGTTTGAGTACCAGGGCCAGACCTACAGCACCTGTACTCTGGAGGAATCCAGCGACCTGTGGTGTTCTCTGGACGCCGTCTATGACGGAAACTACAAGTACTGCGGGGAAGGTACTAAGTTGTGCTTCACTTTTGTTAGCAATTAAATGAAATATTAATATTAAATTCACCATTATTAGACAGAATAGCGTTAAACAGTACAAGTACTTACTTAACCTTCCTGCTACAGTACATTATCTTAGCAAATAAACTAAACATAAACATTGAAATACATTAGACAGGATGGTCTCGCGTTGAACGGGCGGCGTGATGCATTCCCTATAATAGCGATGGCAGCTTTAGACGGGGGACGTCATAGATTTCCTGCTATTTTAACCAATCGCTGGCGTCCACTTCTGAATAATTGTACTTTATTTGTTTGGAGAAGAAGAAGAAGAAACTGTGCAAAAATAATGTTTCCTCCTGTGAAGGTAAACATAATAACAGGCGTGGCTGCAATAATGGCTGTAGTTTAAACATGATTATTATATAGTCTTACCGTCTTTATATATGTCTGTCGCTACACAGAGGAGTGTGTGTTCCCCTTCATCTACAATGGGGAGGAGTACAGCGAGTGTGTGATTGCTGACAACGGCAGGGGCTGGTGTTCTCTGGACCACATCGACCAAGGGAACAGGGTGTACTGTTCGGAACGTAAGCAGACCCCCTCCTCTCAAATTACTTCTAAGACGTATTCAGTGTGTTTAAACACCAAGCTTTCATAATGAAAAGCGCCTTGGTTTAAATTGAAACTTTTGAGCCGACACACGGAAGTTCTCTCAGTTCTCTCACCTAGAGCTTTCGACCAGTCACTCTGGTCTTCCTCAGTAGACTGATCCGGTGTGACTTGCCACGTGGCTTCTTTGAACCGCGACGGGGGCTGATGTCGTCTACAAGATACCTTTGACCCTGTGTTGACGTCACACGTGAAGCCTCGTGACAAGCCATACTGGGTCAGTCTACTGAGGAAGACCAGAGTGACTGGTCGAAAGCTACATACATTATCTCAATAACACAAAGTTTTTTAATGACTCAGAGGTTTGTAGCGAGACCGTCTACAAGGACCAGGGCCACCTTCACTCCCCCAACTACCCCCAGAACTACAACCACGACATGGACTGTTCCTGGATCTTCCCGGCTAGAGGCGGCACCGTCAACCTCGAGTTTCAGGACTTCGCTCTAGAGGGGGGAGCGGCTACCTTCGGGATGTGCGAGTTTGACTACGTCGAGATCTTTGCTGGGGACAGGAATCTGGGTGAGTTGCTTTCAAATTATCCAGCTTTTTACATGCATATGTAGCAGTGTTAAAATAGTCCATCCCACAACCATCAGTATGGTCGCATATGGCGGCGCCCATCTCCGTTTCTATAGCCCCTGGGCCACACAGTCGTGCAATCACTACAGCTATTAGTCCACTGGTAGTGGTGTGTTTGGCCCATACTGTTTCTCAAATGCTGAGTGCTAAGGAGAGGAAGCAGTATGTACCATTTTTTTCAAGCTTTTAGACTTGGCCGGGGATCGAACTACTAAATTCAAGGCGAGCACTCTACCCACTTGGTCATTGCACCGGGTAGCTGCGTGGTAGTCCAAAAAAATCAGAAACCCAAAACTTCACTCCTCATTTTAGGAACCTGGTGTGGTGACTACGGTCCGACTAACATCACATCCACCAACGAGGACGTGACCATCCACATGGTGACTGACGACAGTGTGGCGGCCAGGGGGTGGAATTTGAAGTTTAAGGTGGTCGGGGCTGCACCCTTCGGACCAGGTCTAGAGGAGTGTGGGGGGCTACTGCACGGGCAACACGGGGAGAGAACGTCTCCTGGGTGAGTAGTATCCTTTGATATCCTGGATACCAGAATTTTTCTTAGGGCTAGTACACATAATCTCCAAGCAGATCCTAGGATGAACCTGGCAACAGTCTAGCACCCAGGCTAGCCCTGGAGCCGATGAGGTGGCCTGTATACTAACCCAGGCAACAGTCTGGCACCCAGGCTAGCCCTGGAGACGAGGTGCTAGCTTGTATACTGCCCCTGGCAACAGCCTGGCACCCAGACTAGTCCTGGAACCGAAGAGCTGACCTGTATACTGAGCCTGGCAACAGTCTGGCACCCAGGCTAGTACTGGAGCCTAGGAGCTAGCCTGTATATATACAGACCCTGGCAACAGCCTGGCACCTAGACGAGCCCTCGAGCCGAGAGGCTGGCCTGTATACAGGCCCTGGCAACAGTCTAAAATACTGGCCATGGCAAGTCTAGCACCCAGACTAGCCCTGGAGCCGAGGAGCTAGCATGTATACTGGCCCTGCCAACAGTCTAGCACTCAGGCTAGCCCTGGAGCCGAGGAGCTAGCATGTATACTGGCCCAGAGTCTGGCACCCAAACTTGCCTAGGAGAGGGTTGGCTTCCGTCTTAGAATACCGTACCATGAACACCATGGATCACCAACCCTTTGCCACTAGGCCCTCAAAAAGCCTATGGGATAACCTTTACCCTTTTATCTCGACACAGGTTCCCTGATAGTTACCACAACGATATCGACTGTACCTGGACGCTTGAGGCGAAACATGGAGGCGTGATTCTGGAGTTCCCGGAGTTCAGCCTGGAGAAGCCCGGGGAATACCAGGGGTGCACTTACGACTTCGTGGAAATACACCACGGCCTCAACCGCGTCGGTAAGACCAGACTATGTGTCTTTAACAGAGTCCTTTGCTTGCAGAATTGGTTTGCTTTCCTTTTTGATGCCCACGATCATGACAATGATCATTCTGGCTTACTCATTTTCACCTGAGGGAAGTGAGGAAAGTCGTGAAAAGTGCCTTTCCTAATGTCACAAAGGCCCAAGGGCACAAGGTTGATGACTTAGTAGGATTCGAACTCGGGACCTTTTGGTTCAGAGCCGAGTGCTCTGTCAGTAAGCCACACGACCCCAATTGAAGATCTCATACCCCAGTGAAGTGTTTTGAGTTTTTGTAAATTTCATCCAACCGTCCATCCATCCATCCATCCATCCATCCACCCATCCATCCATCCATTCATCCATCCATCCACCCA